GGAGAGAGAAAAGAGGACCTTGTATGTTGTAATCGAATTAGTCCGATCCACTTCTCGCTCTGCACATGTGTTTGTCGAGAGTTCTCCGAGTCTCCCCCGGACTTTTCCCTCCTTTTTTAGTTTCCCGCGAATATCCGCGTAGCTACGAATCAATGGCTTTATGTCATTCCTAGATGTTGACGTTTATCCCGAGGGCCCGAGGTAGATTGGCGGAAAGACTTACCTAAACCACCCGAAGTTTATCGTGCAAGGGCTATGAGTTATCGTGCAAGAAATGGGGAGTTGTCCGGGGTAGGGAATAATAGGAATATAGTATAGTTACTAGGGTTAGTACATGAAGTACGGAGTAGATTAGTATGAGTACGGAGTACAAAAGGGTAAGCCCCGCATAGATTTAACAAATTACATTATTTCTTGAATTGGATAATTGGATTAGGATAAATTCCATTATTTCAATATCTCATTATTGGAATATTTGAATATTTTGAATATTATTCTATTCGATTTGATCATTTTCTCAATTTCTAGGCATCTCCGGTGTGCCGGTGAACCTGTATGTACTTGTTACCTCATTCCTGGAGTCAATCATCTCCCCCCGGAAAGTATCTGTGACATGTAGATCGGCCTGTGATTCCCCTCTTTATCTAAACCCCCCTCCCCCCCCCTTCCAACCTTCTACTCTTTTTTTTTTTTGTGTTTCTATTTCATCTCTTAAACAACAACCCTACTATCAATTTCTATTCAATTTCTATTATATAGCTCCTGTTGCTTATACTGAGAAACAGTGCGAGCGATTGTGCAGTGAACTGCCGAAACCGGCCTGAAATTGGATCCGGATAGCTCCCCCCAGCTTTTTATAGTGAGTCACCGCCCTCTGCTTTTTACACCGGGACAAACCTTGGAAGGTCTGGAGTGAACCTCTCATCTAATTAAATCCTCTCTAGTAAACCACTACCCCCCTTGTAACCTATCTCCCCCCCCTCTCATCACATACATTCACAATGGCTGCCCCGCACCGCCAACCGGAGGATGCCATTGATGAGTCCGACTTCATTGAGGATCACAATGAGCACCACCAGGACTCAGTCCACCGTCGTCTGCGGGCCAACTCGACTATTATGCACTTCCAAAAGATTCTAGTCGCCAATCGTGGTGAAATCCCCATCCGTATCTTCCGTACCGCACACGAACTGTCCCTCCAGACGGTCGCAGTCTTCTCACACGAAGATCGTCTTTCAATGCATCGCCAAAAGGCCGATGAGGCTTACATGATCGGTCACCGGGGCCAATATACCCCCGTCGGTGCTTATCTGGCCGGTGATGAGATCATCAAGATCGCCATCGAGCACGGTGTCCACCTGATCCACCCTGGCTACGGTTTCCTTTCAGAGAACGCCGACTTTGCCCGGAAGGTCGAGAAGGCTGGCATTGTGTTCGTCGGTCCTACCCCTGAAACTATCGATGCCCTTGGTGACAAGGTTTCTGCCCGCCGCGCTGCTATCAAGTGCAATGTCCCCGTTGTCCCTGGAACTCCGGGCCCCGTCGAGCGCTTTGAAGAGGTCAAGTCCTTCACCGATGAATTTGGCTTCCCCATCATTATTAAGGCTGCCTTTGGTGGTGGTGGTCGTGGTATGCGTGTTGTGCGTAACCAGGCTGAGCTGCGTGACTCTTTCGAGCGTGCTACCTCCGAGGCTCGCACCGCCTTCGGTAACGGTACCGTCTTCGTCGAGCGTTTCCTTGACCAGCCTAAGCACATCGAGGTTCAGCTTCTCGGTGATAACCAGGGCAACGTTGTCCACCTCTTCGAACGTGATTGCTCCGTCCAACGTCGCCACCAGAAGGTCGTTGAGATTGCTCCTGCCAAGGACCTTCCCGTCGATGTTCGTGATAAGATCTTGTCTGATGCCGTGAAATTGGCCAAGTCAGTTCGGTACCGCAACGCGGGTACTGCTGAGTTCCTTGTCTGTGGCAATGAGCACTACTTCATCGAGATCAACCCTAGAATTCAAGTCGAGCACACTATTACCGAGGAAATCACCGGTATTGATATTGTGGCCGCCCAGATTCAGATTGCTGCTGGTGCAACCCTTGAACAACTTGGCCTTACCCAGGACCGCATCTCTACTCGCGGTTTCGCCATTCAGTGCCGTATCACTACTGAGGACCCTGCCAAGGGCTTCTCTCCCGACACTGGTAAGATCGAGGTCTACCGCTCTGCGGGTGGTAATGGAATCCGTCTGGACGGTGGTAACGGCTTTGCTGGTGCCATTATTACTCCCCACTACGACTCTATGCTGGTCAAGTGCACTTGCCGTGGCTCAACCTACGAGATCGTCCGCCGCAAGATGCTGCGTGCTCTGGTTGAGTTCCGTATCCGCGGTGTCAAGACCAACATTCCTTTCCTTGCTTCGCTCCTGAGCCACCCCGTATTCATCGATGGTACTTGCTGGACTACATTCATTGATGACACCCCTGAGCTGTTTGCCCTCGTCGGCAGCCAGAACCGTGCCCAGAAGCTGCTCGCTTACCTGGGTGACGTTGCTGTCAACGGCAGCAGCATCAAGGGCCAGATCGGCGAGCCCAAGTTCAAGGGCGAGATCATCCGGCCCGTTCTCAACGATGCCGCAGGCAAGCCTATTGACATCTCCACGCCCTGCACCAAGGGCTGGAAGCAGATCTTGGACAGCCAAGGCCCTGAGGCCTTCGCTCGCGCTGTGCGCGCCAACAAGGGCTGCTTGATCATGGACACCACCTGGCGTGATGCCCACCAGTCGTTGCTTGCTACCCGTGTGCGAACAATTGATATGCTGAACATCGCTACTGAGACCAGCCACGCATTGAGCAACGCTTACTCGCTCGAGTGCTGGGGTGGAGCCACCTTCGATGTGGCCATGCGATTCCTCTACGAGGATCCTTGGGACAGACTTCGCAAGATGCGCAAGGCCGTCCCCAACATTCCCTTCCAGATGCTGCTGCGTGGTGCCAACGGTGTCGCCTACTCTTCCCTCCCCGATAACGCTATCTACCACTTCTGTAAGCAGGCCAAGAAGTACGGTGTCGATATCTTCCGTGTCTTCGATGCCCTGAACGACCTTGACCAGCTCGAGGTCGGTGTTAAGGCCGTCCACGAGGCTGGTGGTGTCGTTGAGGCAACCATGTGCTACAGTGGTGACATGCTGAACCCCAAGAAGAAGTACAGCTTGGAGTACTACCTGGGTCTGGTGGACAAGATCGTCGAGATGCGTCCTCACGTCCTTGGAATCAAGGATATGGCTGGTGTGCTCAAGCCCCAGGCTGCCCGTCTGCTGATCGGCTCCATCCGCAAGCGCTACCCCGATCTCCCCATCCACGTTCACACCCACGACTCCGCCGGAACCGGTGTTGCCTCCATGATTGCCTGTGCCGAGGCTGGTGCTGATGCCGTGGATGCCGCTACCGACAGTCTGTCCGGTATGACCTCGCAGCCCAGCATTGGTGCTCTCCTTTCTTCGCTGCAGGGTACCGAGCACGACCCCAAGCTGGACCTGGGCCATGTCCGCGCTCTTGACAGCTACTGGGCTCAGCTCCGTCTGCTCTACTCTCCCTTCGAGGCTGGTCTGACTGGCCCCGACCCCGAGGTCTACGAGCACGAGATCCCCGGTGGCCAGCTGACCAACCTGATCTTCCAGGCCAGCCAGTTGGGTCTTGGACAGCAGTGGGCTGAGACCAAGAAGGCCTATGAGGTGGCCAACGAGTTGCTGGGCGACATTGTCAAGGTCACCCCCTCCTCCAAGGTCTGTGGTGACTTTGCCTCCTGGATTGTCAGCAACAAGCTGTCCGCCCAGGACGTGCTCGACCGTGCCGATCAACTCGATTTCCCTGGATCCGTGTTGGAGTTCTTCGAAGGTCTGATGGGTCAGCCCTACGGCGGCTTCCCCGAGCCTTTGCGTACCAAGGCCCTGCGCGGCCGTCGCAAGCTCGACAAGCGCCCCGGTCTTTACCTGGAGCCCATGGATCTCATCAAGATCAAGAACGACATCCGCGAGAAGTTCGGCACTGCCACCGAGTGCGACGTCGCCAGTTATGCCATGTACCCCAAGGTGTTCGAGGACTACCGTAAGTTCGTGGCCAAGTTCGGTGATCTTTCCGTTCTGCCAACCCGCTACTTCCTTGCCCGTCCCGAGATTGGCGAGGAGTTCCACGTCGAGCTGGAGAAGGGTAAGGTCCTGATCCTGAAGTTGCTCGCCATCGGTCCTCTCTCCGAGCAGACCGGCCAGCGCGAGGTCTTCTACGAGGTCAACGGTGAAGTCCGCCAGGTTAGTGTCGATGACCAGAAGGCCTCGATCGAGAACCTCGCCCGTGCCAAGGCCGACCCCACAGATAGCAGCCAGGTCGGCGCTCCCATGAGCGGTGTCGTGGTTGAGATCCGCATCCACGATGGCCACGATGTCAAGAAGGGTGATCCTATTGCGGTGCTGAGCGCCATGAAGATGGTATGTTATTATCTCTTGTTTCTCTTATTACAGACATGAATATGTTTCTAACTCTCATCTAGGAAATGGTGATCTCCGCCCCACACAGTGGAAAGGTGTCCGGCCTCCAGGTCAAGGAGGGCGACTCCGTCGATGGCCAGGACCTGATCTGCAGGATCAGCAAGGCGTAAAAGCATAGTGTCTTTGTACTACCGAACCATGCACGATTTGTGATGCGTGATGTGATTTGAATGATTTCTCAGCGTTTTTAGTTCTTTATGGTTTTTGAGTTCATCTCTGGATTAAGGCAATTTGCTGTTCTAGCTTATTCGGAATCAAACAGTATTCTGTTCAAAATATTTCAAAGTCATAATCTGTCTTCCCCCACAGATCTTTAACTATAGATCTAGCTCCGCGGACTTGTGCCGTTCCTCCTGTGGGACATATTCCGGTCTGTCAACCATCCTATAACTTAAGAAAAGGATGACCAAATTTATCAGCACAACTTTTTGCCTTGGGAAGCCAATGAATCGTAATATTTTGACCGAACTACACATTTTCTTTCCATGCAAAATACTGATATGTGAAGTAAACTGTGAACAGTGCCACAAGAAATGATCCGAGGCCGAAAGCAGATGAACTGTCTGAGGTTGTCAGTGCGTAGATAGTTACGCTTAATCCAATGATTAGGAGCGTGATGAACATTGAAAGTAGAACCACAGTCCAGTTCAAACATTCATTCACATGAATCCCCCATCCAGTGACTTTCATCCCGCCAGATCCAGGCAAACGTGATAATGGATCTCGAATCTTTTTAGGAAACCTGGTGATCCAAAAGTTGTCGCTGTGAGGTCCCGGTTTTAGCAGGTGGTTTAGGGGTATGTAGGCCATTTCTACATCGTCCAGTGGAACTGGGTCATAGAGATATCGTCCTTCCTCAACCTCAACTTTTGGTGGCATTCTTTTGGTCTGAAACCACATGGGAAGGCATCTCATTCCGATAGGTACTAGCTGAAACTGCAACGTGTTAGTGTCCTCGGTGTCCTGATGTTTCAAGATATGACGTGCTATAATACATTCTTACCTGCACAAAATCCCCAGATTCAATCCGGTAAAGACGCATTTGGTGAACATGGCGGAGAATCACAGAGAGACTGAAAAATTTCGATAGGTATGGTAGTCTTGGTATCCGCGTCGAAATGGTATTCGCAAAGTTGGAGAGCAACTGTGGAATTATAGATGTTACTCTAAATTCAGAGTTTTCACGAGCTTTTTTATACTCTATCAAAATTTGCTCGAAGAGGTGCTGGTCATTTGTCAAAGAGGCCACTTCAACGTGCGATAGGACCGTCGAATCCTTTGTGTTAATACACAAGAGAAGGAATTTGGAGTCCGGATCGCTTGCACTGGTAACGAGAGAGTTTCCACGTTGTGTGGATTGCGATAAGTAAGGATCTATGGGGATGTATCGTGTTGAACGGCGGCTAAAAGTCTCACCGATATTACTCAAATGAACTTGAGCTGGAGTTTCCAGATGATTGTGAATAGATCCGGTCTGTTCTTGGGCCTGGACCGCACGGCTGCTAGCGAGAAGCTTCTGCCTGAACCTGTCAATACCACCTGCTGATAATTCCCTGACATCAAGATATGTGAACTTTCCACAGCCCTGTAATATCATTAGCCCGCCGTAGTGTACCAAAAGAAAGACGACATACGCATAGATACGGGATTCGTTGGTAACCAGCCGCTGGGGGGGAATATATCGCCAGAAAGCGAAACCACCATGGTGGCGAGTGCCATTGAAGAGCAGCATCGTTTCGACGAAGAACATCTCTACGGATTTTGTCGTTCCAATCCGGAGAAAATGGCTCCTCCCTGATGCCGTGGTCGGCAGCATATTGTAGTCTACCCTGTATGCTAGCATCTAGGCCGAAGGAGCGCATGACATCAACGCAAGATAGTGAATCTAGCAAAACATTAGTATCAAATCATTTTCAATGGTGGGTTGACAAACTCGGTGGGACATCATATAAACTTCCTATGGGAGAACCTTGATCCTCACCATGCTTTGGCTCACCAGAATTTACCATCTGGATGTCATTATAACTGCCAGGGTAATGCGTAATTTTCTCCTCGCTTTGAACTCCATGACCAGCTCTCCTTTTACTTTCCAGCCACCGTTGAAATTCTAGTTTTAGATCAGAGAATGCCTGTGTTGACACCAAGAATTCTTTAACCCTCTCAAGTGAAGCTATTGTAGTGGATTCTGTATCACTTAGATCGCTGCCCACAGACGACTCGTCACCATCAGCGTCTCGGTCTGTGCGACCACCTGTGTGTGACTCTATCCACTCATTGACTCGAGTCAATTCCGATGGAGCTGCTTTTGAATTCTTTTCGAGAGATAAACCGGGGTTATTCTCCATGAGATCTATACGGACTTCAACTGCTGTCTGCCGTGCGGACAACCGAACAAAATGCGCTGCTTCACGTTGAATTTCATTGCATGCTTCGCGGCTTAACCCCGAACCATACCGCTTCAGCATACGTGAAAAATTTCTTTGGAACCTTTCAAAGCCGACCTTTGAGATGGCTGTTTTATATAGACTCATCAACTGGTCATCATTCAAGAGTAAACGAGCTAATTCATGAATAGCGGTTGTTATTTCAGGCTGAGATGATTGCCAGGATGAACTAGATTCCGCTGAAAAAATGCTTTCAATATCAGTCTCATGAAAACCAACTGAGCTATTGGTTTCATCGTCATTGTTGTAGTCATTGTGTTGTGGGCTTCCAGTTTCTGTGAAGTGCTGTTGTTGAAAACCATATGCTCGGTACGAGCTCTGACTGATGCCTTCAATTCGCAATTTATCTGCACGGTGCTATGTGAGAAAAGAACTATTGATTGGCGACCAATCTGATGTATACTATACTTACTAAACACATCTCCCGCCAGATTCTCTTGCAAAAAATGGCCCTCAGGAATATAGCCTAGCAGCTCTTTAGCATATGATGCTGCTGCTAAGGCCGCGTATCCTTGCCACTGTCGGTTCTTGTGCGAATCGGCGTAATCAGATATACCGCGGATGAAGATGCAGGGGAAATCTGTCATCAAACCAGCTGCCTCCGTTTCAAAGCACAAAGCATCGCTTTCCAGCCTTAGCTGCTCTCGTATCCGACCATCCTTGATAATGGTATTCCCAGATGCAATGATACCATAGTGCGGTTCTGGAACATTGCTCTCGCGTTTGTTTCTTATCTCTTCCCAATCTGTAAGACATTCGTCACAGTTGCTCATAGTCGCCGGGTGATTATAATTTGCTTTGAATAATCTATCATGATATGCACTAGGTCGGGCAAATGTTTTGTGGGTCCGCGAGGTTCTTTTAATGGCGCTTTCCATATACTCAGGGTAGCGCAGATCATCTGTTAGCTCACTAGCTCTCATCATATCAACCGCTTTTAAAAGTACTGTAGGAGGAGTATTCAATGAGGCAGTTTGATGAAAGTGACTTCCCACTCCAGCTCTCCCCATATCGTACTGCAGCACTCCGCCACAAATGCCCTGGGGGTAGCTTATCACGATATCTCCAAGCCGTATATCATGAGCAGCCGACGGAAGCCCCCCCCCAGTACCGATAATCAGCCCAATGCGAAGTGAATTGGAAAATGTTTGTACCATGTTGATTGCGACGGTGGCAGCCGAGGTAGTTCCGTAAGTTCCTCCAGGGAGGCAGGCGATCACGACATTATGTTTGCCGATTCGGCCTAAGATATAGGTGTTAAGGTCTGTCATATCTTGATCATCAAGTCTTCCAAAGCGTTCATCCAACATTTCCTGAGCTGCGGCGGCCTCAATTGGCAGCGCGCATATCCAACCGATGTGGAATGCTTCTCGTGGTGGACTGAATACTGCATTTATCGAACCATGGTTTATTCCAATCTGGAGCCCACTGTTGTTTTCGAACGATCTCGATGCCATATCGAAAAAAGTGCCTCGTGGGTAGTTTAAGGGAGGGCCATTGTCTGACATTCAGCTGAAAGGAGGGGCACGTTCTTAGCTGCTTCATCAGGTGACCCTGCAGCGCTAAGAAAGGGAATCAGAGTAGTAGGCAGTCCCCATCGAGCACTCTGTGTGGGAGGGAATAGCAGCTTCTCTGAAATTAGATTGACCCGTATTAGATCACCCCAACCAAGCACAGCGCGCAATAACCAGCCAGGTCCCCTCCAGTCCCCCCCCCNCCCCCCCCCCCCCCCCCCAAATAAGAGCCCGCTTTGACACCGCTACTCCCTACAAATAGTTACATATAAGTCAGGATATGATACTTACTATAATCAAGCTAGCACAGGATGTTTCAGTGTTTGCAACCGCTGTTTTCCGAGGTCCGCAACTTCGAGATAGGCACCTAAGCTCCTAGGACCTGCGAGGTCACAAGATCACGTAAACTTACTAATACCTAGTCCTAGTGTGATACAAAAGGGACCAGATATTTTCTTATTGGATGCCCGAGGTACCGTGTATATAAGCCGTAATTATAGGGGCCTCACTTGCACGTTGTCTGGCTACCTCAGATGGCTATGATGCTGACTAGCCCCGAGGGGTAATACTAGCATCCCCCGGATCTTTCGCGCAAATCATGTCACCTACTAACCAAGTAGATGGTGTGATTCTCACCCCTCAACGGTCGTCCAGCGCCCTTACCAAAGCTCTCCTCTATCAACGTCTAGACTTCTCTTCCCACCATGGCGCCAAGAAACCCCTATCAGTGTGAATACTGGAAGGGAGGGGACTTAGATATAGCTTTTTTTTCGGCGACGTTTTAGTCGCTAGTAGAAGCAAGGGGAATAACTGTACAACATATAAGTCGAGCTTTGATGTTACAGGGTAGTAGGCGGCCAAAGGGTGGCTAGACGTCTAAAGTTATTGGTGTAGAAAGGCAGCCGTTTCCGACCTCAAAAGCGGTCATTTTCGGCGTCAATCCCACAGGTCCCCTTATTCTAGATGTAAATGTGTTGTTAGGCATTGCCTTTGTGTTTCGTTATAACTTGGGATACCTAGGTTGGGGGCCCATACACCTTATCAATTGAGAAAACAAGATTTTAGACTTCGGGTCATACAGTAACAGACATACCTAGTGTATCAATACAATGCTGATCTCAATTTCTATTCGTGGTAGTATACCGAACAACATCTTAAGGTGATGGCAATCAACTGATATGCGCTTCACTCCGCACCCGCACCCGCACTCGAACATGCGGCCGCACCCGCACCTCGTTATTTGACTGACGCATATATACTCCGTGATCGGGGCAAACATCTACGGCTGCCTATTCTAGGCGTTATTATAAGAGAAAAGGACAGAGCAGGGCGTAACATGAGCTAGACACAGCACTGCCTTTCTCTCCACAGCGCGCCGAGGCCTAGCAATGAGCAATAATTTGCACGATTTCATCCCCGACCTCGCCGGGAAAGTCGCTATCGTGACAGGTGGGCACACAGGACTGTATGTCACTTCCCCTAACTCGATTGGTTATTTTCTCGCCCTGCTAGTGACGAGTTTCTCATTTCTTCAATCCCTCATAGTGGCTTCGGCACCAGCATCGAGCTTGCGAAACATGGCGCTCGAGTGTATATTGCCAGTCGGTCAGCTGCGAAATTCAAGGATGCGGAGCAGGATATTCTTTCTGAGTACCCGAAGGCAGATGTGCGGTTTCTGATGTTGGACTTGGCCGACTTGAAAACTGTACGGGAGGCGGCGGAGAGGTTTGTTCAGTGAGTTGTATCAGCGACGTTTGGTGTGTGCTTGAAGGTAGTCTCTGATAATGAGTGATTTAGGCAGGAGTCAAGTCTTCATTTACTGGTGAATAATGCTGGCGTGCGTAAGGCTCCTCTCTTCCTCGGGCACTGCTTACTCGTTCCAGGTTATGTGCGTTCCGTACGAGGAGACAGGGAACGGGTTTGAGATGCAGATCGGGGTAGGTGCAGCCCTATATAACTAGTAGCTTTGTTGGAGCTATAGCTAAGGGAGATTAGGTGAACTATATTGGCCATTTCGTGTTCACGAAGTTACTCATCCCGATACTCCAGAAGACAGCAGAGACGACCGAAAAGGGAAGCGTGCGTGTTGTGAACGTATCTAGCGACGGGCACGCCAAACTCGCACCGAAGGAGGGCATAATATTCTCAGATATGAACATGAAGAATGATTTCTCTGTCTGGGCTCGATACGGCCACTCCAAGCTTGCCAACGTTTTGCATTCGAGAGCATTGGCCAAGAGATATCCGAACATTCTTATGCTGTCCTTGCATCCCGGAACGGTAAAGACGTATGTTGCTGTTTCCTGTCCAACCATTTCAAGCACGGATCTGACGGTGCTTAGGAACTTATCCGCAGGGCCGATCTCGTCAACTCCGCTGTATCGGCTGATAAAGCCGCTTGTAGAGCTGGGTGCACCTGGTCCACGAAAGGGGGCGGCAAACATTCTTTTCGCTGCTGTGTCACCGAGGCTACGCTTGGAGTGCGACAATGGAGCATATCTGCTACCAATTGGAAAGGTGTCGTCGCCCAGTAAAGCGGGATCGGATCCGAAGATGGCAGAGGATCTCTGGGAGTGGACGACAAAGGCCCTCAGAAGTCGAGGGTATGAATAGGCGAAATCATGTCACATCTTATTTACCAGTCGATCCGTACCAATCAGTTCCCGAGTCAGCAAGCGGGTTATCATCTCCACCAAGTCTTTTTAGTAGGCGGAAATACCTCCACCCTTGCCGTATAAGAGTCAATTTCTCATCGTCGATGGCTGTCAATATCGTTCCCGCTTTGCTGATGAAGGTAGCACGCGCATCTCGGTGCTCCGACACGGCGGCACCGGTAAAGGCAGCCCAGGTGAACACCTCCGGAGCGTTGCGGATCCAGTATAATGGCTCTATTTTAGACAGGTGTTTCAAAAGCTGCTTGGCTTCATGGTTTCCAGTCGTGTTTGGGGTTTGCTGGGAGTACGTTTGTCGTCGAAGCATTTTCCAGAATAATTGGCAGCAGATCTGGCAGCATTTATTAAGCCGCTCTGGTGGAGTAAGATGGTGGTTATACTCGGCTCTGTCAGTCCAAGTACTTGTCGTTGCAAAGGAGAGCGCACGCTCAACTTCAGCGGAAATACTACAGCGGTCGGCATGGACCAGATGATCTAGCCGTGACATGGCTTCATACACGTCCAGTATTGCATCTGTAGTCTCTTTCTCCAAGTATGATTCGTCGTTGCTTAGCGTGGCCCTCGACACTACATTTCGAAGGATGGTGTTTGGGCGAACTAATTCAGACGATAAGCAGTCCCAAATAGGGAGCATGTTATAGATGCAGGCGAACGAGAGCATGGCGCTAGAAAGATGAGTAACAGATCAATCAGCCCAGGAAGGGATAGTGGCAACGTACACCTTGACAATTGCAATCAGTGGCCCTATGTCGGCTCGGAAGGATTGGGGCGTCGCAAGGAGCATCTTCACCAGGCCTTTCTGGTGCGCGACCGCAGAGTCTCGGTCAAGTGTGACCATCTATAAGTCTTTAATACTGCCTATTCCCCATACTGTGTCCTATATGATGTATACTCACGTTGTAATATAGCAAGGGTATCACTGCTCCCAATGTTCCATAGTTTAGGACTGGCTCTGTTTGTGCCAAACGTTCGTTGAGCAAGCGGATAGCCCAGGTCTGGTGGTACAGGGTTCGTGTGGTAATCTGCTGGCCTTGCAACATGTCAATCGATGCGGATGCCCCGAACAGTGTGGCATGAAATAGACAGGGATCGGACATGGCGTGTTGCATCCATTGCGAACGGAGATGGTGTGCCAAACTGTAAGTTACCACTGTATCCGAGGGTAACGCTATAGACGTGAGAACTATCGGGTGGTGAGTTAGCGTATTTAATTATGGGACTTTCGTCATGACACACAGAATTGTATTAGATGCGACATGTAGGAGCGACATCTAATAGGAGGTTCGAAACCCACTTCCACTTCGGTCTGTGCTAATGGAGCGAAATCCATCCTTTGGACCCCATGGGTGTCTGCTTCAGTACCACCGGGGACAATAACTGGAGGCTGCGGGCTCGCCACTTGGTATGTACAACTGGTTCCTATTCTAAAGGTAATCCTCGTCAGTCACAATTTGCGCTCCAATCATGGCCGCTCTCGGCCATTTCACCCGGTATTCCGAGCATCCTTTATGTACCTTAGACAGCGGGAGCATTTGGGAGTGATGCGATCACATCTCCGTTTATGCATCTTACACCGTAAACATGCATTGTGCCACACCTTATCCACAAGTGCCTCCGATTGAATCGCCTGAGTCACAGGTCCCGGTTGCGAGGCCGCTCGGTATTCGCATGGCCTGTCTAGTCTGATACGCTAAATTTAGTCTCCACAGTATATATACCCTACTTGATCTTCAATATTGACGTGTTGATGGGAGCTCCAACGTACTTCTTGCATCGAGAACAGATTGGAAGCCGCTTATCGCATTGTCGCTTGCCCGACTTGCAGGTCAGACAGACCAGTGCAGCTCTGTCCTGTTCTTGTTCTGCTTTCTTTTCTCGGTGGAACGATGCCATGATATTGACTGTGATTCCAAAGAGCCCCTGGTTAGACGAAATACAAGAAAATCCTTTTGGGACTGATACCAAGGCTGTCAGTCACATTTATCCACTTAGGGCCAGGTCATATGTCGAAAGCTATATTACAATACATGACTAGGAACCTAGTATTCAACACCTCGGAAAATACATGGACCGCTTTGAATGCGGGTCCTATGTAAAAGTACATACTAAGCTTAGTCATTAATGTCCGTACAAATTGTCAAATAGTGGACTTTCGTCATTTTAAAGTCATGCAGTATATATCTGTTATCTATACTATACCTTGCTGTACACCTTGATTTCCGTTTTATATCAAGTAGATATCCGAATTGTAGTCAACATGGTTTCTCAACATAATTCAGGTTCGTCGACTGGCAGCCTTTTTGATAGCAGTCGCCATGTGGTCTGGCACTGTATAAAACGGACTGTGCGATGCATTCAAGACATCAGTATGGATTTTGACCCCTTTGGAGACCTCCTCGACCATCATTTTCTGTACTGAAAGTGGGATCGCCTCATCTTTAAGACAGTAAAGATACGTGGAAGACACATGTCTCCAAGCCTCAAAGGTAATGTTGCTATGAAATGTCTGATAACTATGAGGTTTCAATGCTTCGACAGCCCTTTTCGCATCAGGCTCACTCATGTCGTTGTAGAAAGTTTCTCTGGGGGTGGCCGGGGTCACAATGAGACGATCGTCCGAGACTTGGAACCAGGGAAGGTCATCACCGCCGAAAGAACTGATCAGAGATTTTCCCTCGGGGACGATAAATGAACAGCAGAAGAAAAGGTGAACCACACCCCCTGGTTGACCTTGGCTTTGGCGAGTTCCCCAGTCTAAGTCGCGGATTGCCTCACAGCCTGGAATTCCACCGTACGAGTGCACCACGACCACCACTCTTTGACCAGCGTTGGCAGCCATCTCGATCTGCCTCCTGATCTGACAAACATCTTCTGAGAAATTCGAATGAGGTATAACAGGGCCAACAGAGGGCAAGTGAACAACGTCAGTATTGTAGCCGTCGGCTTGAAGCGATTTAATGACTTGGTCGAAACATCGAGGGTTGTGCCACGCGCCAGGGATGAAAAGGACTGTTGTTGAAGATGCCATGAATTAAGATTTCCAAAGTATTGGGTTGAGAAAGACGAAATGATGAAGATAGATCGACTTGTATCGAGTTCTTATATATTCCCTCCTCTAGATGAAGCTAGAGAGGCGCGGTCATAGCCACGTGGGTCAATCTTGCTAGAAGCGGGCAGGAATGAGCGCGACCAAACAGCCCCGACCAATCCCAGTCACCCAAAAATCCCCAGATCAACCAGCTAGCACGGCCTTCCCAGATCTCGGCCTGCCCACGGCTACAACCAGCGCCATGGAGCTGAGCCATGCAAAAATTGAGAAATAATACTACGAGCATAGGCATTATTTAGCATAGCGTTGTGCTGTCTATGCTTCACACGAGTAAGATGATCAGTCTTAACAGGGATGATGCCAGGGGATCATCTACGAGGATCTGGGAGATGCTGAGGTCGCTCTTGAAAGGTTGTCATTGTGCATGATACAAGTCTCCTGGATGTTCTTCCTTTCTTCCATAAGCGCATTACTGAGTGAGGTGAGGAAGGATAAAAGGCGAAGGGGACTTGGGGATAAGGGATTTTGCTGGAGCTATCGACGGAAGTGCAGACGGAAGTACATTGTGATTCAATCGAGTTAACCATTTCACTAATCTATTTTAGCCCGCCATTATTGAATCTTCATAAGCATCATACCTGTACAATAGCCAATGATTTGTGAAATAGCTGATAGCGCCATAGAGATGGAGCAAAACATCATGACTGCAGGCTTATCTCTTCGGAAAGTAAAAAACCGAGGTCGTACAGTTTCCGGTGTGGGGTCGAATTGAGGGGAAGATTAAAAGTCTAGTTGACTGGCCATGGAGTAACATATTTCACAAAGATAGACAGTGTATTGAATCTAAATGTATATATACTCTCCACTACTCCAAATCAACTATTAACAAAACACAAGCCAAAAAAAATGGAAACAATCCGCCGCACTCACCTCAAATCCCTCGCCCACCGCGGCACAATCCAAGGTGTGACAATCTCAACATTGCCTTCTCCCACCACCCAAGCCAAAGACCTCTGCCACTACTTCGGCGGCGTCCGATACGGCCTTGCCCCTGTTGAGCGCTGGCGCAGAGCTCAGCCCCTACCCGCATCCTTCACCTACGGCAGCGAAGAAGTACCAGGTCGTTGTGATGGGGGTGCGGGGCTTTGTCCCCAACCCGGCTTTCTGAATATCTCTCCTGAGAACCCGGGTGCGTGGGACGAGGATTGCTTTCAGTGTAATGTTTGGACGCCTATTGGGGAGGTGCCTGAGGGGGGGTGGCCTGTTTTTGTTTTTATTCGTGAGTATTGTCTGGTTGAAGCTGATATACATATGGTGCTTGGGCCTAGAATGGGGCGGCAAGATTCCACATAAACCGTGCTGACAGGCATTGTTCGATGCAGATGGTGGATGGCTTCAATTTGGCACACCCAATTCATTTAATGCCGCTGGATTGATCGGCGAGGCTGATTTCAACTGTGTGGTTGTGATGCCTGCATACCGGGTCAACCTATTCGGATTCCTGTATTCAGCCGAACTAGAAAAGGATGCAGCCACTATCGGTGAGACAGTTGGGAACCACGGATTCTGGGACCAGAGACTGGCACTAGAGTGGACGAAGGAGAACATCCAGCTATTCGGCGGGAATCCGGAGGCCATCACGATCGCAGGATACTCCGCAGGCGCCAACTCCGTCTTCCACCAACTAGCCTACGACCTCCGCCAACCAGACGAGAACTCCCTCGTCCGCCAAGCCTGCATCTGGTCAAACAGCCCAGCCGTTCAACCTAAGCAGCCAACAGAAACACAAACCCAATTCAACCAACTCCTAACAGCCCTAGACATCCCCCTCACACTGTCCCATAGCGAGAAACTCACCCGGCTACGCTCAATCCCCGCAAAAACCCTCCTTGAAGAAGCAAAAACAATTCCCCTTCACCAATTCCGCCCAACAACAGACAATTCTTTCATATCCGAATCTCTCTTCACAACCCTTGATACCGGTGCCTTTGCCCGCAGCCTCCTAGCCCGCAACGTCCGCATTATAATAGGCGAATGTCGCGACGAGCGCTTTCTCTACAGTACATGGTTCCCGCCGACGGAGGACACACTCTCCGCGCTGCGAATCCGCCTTATCGCGGATTACCCCGAGCACATTGTCGATGCTGTTATACCGCTGTATTACCCGGATGGCCGTCTACCGACGAACTGCAAGAACTGGGACCAAGACGCATGGGGGAGGATCTATGCTGATATGCAGGTGCATCAGATGCAGCGTGGGCTTGCGTATGCGATGACGGAGAATGAGGATGGGGTTGATGCTTCGGCGTTGCTGTTTCGGTATCGGATTGAATGGAGAGCGAAGTGTGTGGAGGCGGTCTTGCCGATTGAGTGGGGGGTCACGCATTCGTCAGATTATCCGATTTGGTTCTTTGGAAATGGGGGTTTGTTGGGGGAGGGGGAGAAGGGGATTGTGAAGGATGGGTTCGTGGGCCCGTTAGGGAGGTTTGTTTCTGGGGAGGGAGAGTTTGGATGGGGGACTTCGGGGGCTAGGGGGGTTAGGACGCTGAGGGGGGATGGGAGTGTTGAGATTGTCGATGATGGGGATTGGGAGGAGGGTGTTAAGGTTTGGAAGGAGTTGAGGAATGCTGATGGGAAGTCGTGATACATAGCTAGGTAGTAGATATATCAATTCTTCTGAGTTGCAAGTATAGGTATACCTAGATAGTAAATATTGGACACTCACCAGTCACCAAGTTGGATCTTAAATTATATGCCAAGCTTTCCCCGCATTCCAATTACGTCAAGGCTCTCTGGGGTACATCATAATACAACGTCAGTACATAGTTAGTACATATATAGCAAGGAATAATCATAGTACATGGTTTATAGCAGGGTATAATACATGTGCTAAACAAGTATCATAAGTACCAGTATAGTACTCCAAAGAGTGGTGTGCATAAGGGACTAGACCTTTCCGGCAAAGGAGACCGTGATTCACCACAGCTTTGTAACCTAACAACGTGCATATGTTATAATAAGCCATCTTCCCCTATCTTTCCCTTGAATTATCTTTACTATTAATTTATATCAATCCAAGCTATCCTTGGAGAATATTGAGGTATGTTTCGTCTTTCTATACTCCATCCATCCCCAAGAGGCAACCCCGAACAAGAATGACGTCGTCGACTCCCAACCCTTAAAAAGGACATCCCATAATGATTGTCCTCTTGGTCTCGTTATAATTCTATACCTGGCCTCACACTTACTATCTTACTAAATTCCCCTCAAAAACACCAGATCACTATCCATTACGGATTACTCCAGTTACCTAGACATCTCCAACATGTCTGACGACAACACCCGACGCCACTGGCACGGAATCCCCGGCGACCGTCACGAGCACCTGAATGTCTGGATGAACGGCGGCGCTAAGAGCCCCAGTGGTCGCGCTGCATGGGCAATGCCTGAGACAGATAGGAGGGTATGTCATTTGCCTCTTTGAAATTCTGGACCTGTTTCTTATACACAATTCCCATCTATTATTCCCTTGGCACTACATCACTACTATCACTACCCCTCTATCCATCTATCACACATTATTTATCCATTCATATATACCCTATCCCAAAACAAACCTAACACCTCAAATGAAGGACTCCAACACCTCCACCTCCTCAACTGGAAACAAGCAAACCGAAGGCACTGCGCCTAACCTCCCAAGCCTAGGCGAGCGTCGCCGCAGCTCCGGCGGATCTGCAAATGGCCTCTTCTCGCATCTGCAATCACAGAAGCGTGAATCTACAGACGCAAATATGGCTACCCGTCGCGCGAGCTGGAATGAGCAGGCTGCTAAGGGGGGTATGTTCTCGAAGTGGTGGGAGGGATACACCCGTGGTAGTGGTAGCAAATAGTTTTTCTTTTTTTTGGTTCTGCATCTGCTGTGTGCTTGGGCATTTGTATACTCGATACGGGGTTGATGCTGGAGATGGAAATTGGAAACATGGAAAGGAAAAAAGAAAACCACAACGGATTTTGGGGTTCGGGGTGTTATAGTTTGGTGCTTCTTGAGCTTTCATGAATTTTATGATAATTTCTTATTCCGTTTCTTTAATCGAGGGCCGCCTTCAGAGACGTCAAAATGAATAACATGAAAGAAGATACCTAATCTCGGTCTTCTCCTGTAGCTCCAATCCGCACTCGGCTACCGACTTGACAGAAGACGTCTATATCATTCAGCAGTCTAACACCACCTGCATAATTAGAACCACCAACCACTGTGATTGTAAATGCAAAGAATACCATGGCATTGAACCGGGAACTCCAAAACCCAGCTTGGCACTATCTCATCCCATAGTTGTCTCCCAACCTTTCTCAATCATGACATCAACCCAATAAGTATCATCATCCCCAGCATCCAACCTCTTCCAGACCTCATTAACCAATTTCAAGCATACATGAATCGGTTTCGGCGGCAGAACATGCAAAAAGGACGTGAGACGGCCGAGGATGAACTTGCGCGTGCGCGAGACTTCAATGGCCTCCATTGAGATGGTAGGTGTTTGGTTCGGGTTATTACTATCGTTAGCACCCTCTGCGAAATCTTCACCACTCCGGCTTTGTGTGCCCACGTTTGTGGCCAGACGCGCGAGACGGAGCTCTGAGCAGGATGCTACCAGGAGGAATGGCTGGAGACAGCGTGTGCGTGATTCCAGGGGTATTGTTTTTAGCCGGGAGAGGGTTGTCACGGCGAAATCAGTGAGCCAGTTGCTGTATAGGGTTTCTGGGGTGGGGGGTTGTTGGGTGTCTTGTGATGGTGGGGATGGTAGGTTGTGAGGGGAATGTTGGTAGGGATTGTGGGGAGAGGACTTTGTAGATGGAGAAGGAACGTTGTGTTGAGAATTGGTGGTTTTTCCTGTTGCAGGACTGGGGTCGCCGAATCCAGCTGATAGGTTCATGCTGTCGAGGTCGACTGGGAAGAATGGATCGCGGGATGTTGGATCATTGTTGCTGGGGTATTGGGGTGATGTGGATGTGGCAGAGGGTAGGCGTTTGTGTAGTAAGTCTGGGAAGACACGGTATAGCTGCATGAGGCCGACGCATCGATATGCTTCGGCCATTGTGAGGAGGTGCCATACTGGGGTATCGTCGTCGCCAGGACTGACGATCTCGGCCTCGGATGGATGCGCGAGACCCAAGAGGCGTTTTTCTAGTTCGCGGGCTTTCTCGATTGCTAACTGTGCACGGGTGATATCATCTTGGGAGGTGAATCGCCTTGAGTAGATGCGTTTTCGCTCACGGCGGATGAGTTGTCCGACCTCGTGGACGGTGAACTGAGTGTCGCGCGCGATGCCGGTCCACGGGTGTGGGACTCGTTGTAGAACGAAGGACTCGCCCATAGATGAAGCGGTTCGTAAATTGTTGGATAAAACCATGGTGTCATTATCTGCGACGAAGGAAAGCAACATCTCCCAGTAGATGAGAGCTTCTTCGAAGAACCGGTAGTTGTTACTGTCGTTCTGAGGAAAGCTGGAGCTAGGGTTGTGCGATGATGAAGCTAGGGTATTGAGCTGCTTGCGGAGAAGGTTGAAAAATGATATACCCAAGTCCTTTGGGTCATGCCAACTAGCCGTCTGTCCGAGCATTAGCAGCGCTAGTAAAGACTTGTCATCTATTACTGCTTCGCGCGTGATTATTTCAACAGCTTCATCACGCATCCTTCGGCCCATGGGACCGAACTGGGGAAATTCGGTGACTAGCGTTGCAGCAGCCATGCTTTGCATTGTTCGACACATCGCTAGTGAGGATCCCCAAAGACGGGATACTGTGGTTCGGAATGGGTTCATCTGGCTGTCGTAGCTAGAGAACAGTGCTGCCACTTCTTTGAAATAATACTCGATCAAGGTCCATGACGGATTATTCAGTGAACGAGACATTGACATGAAGTTATGTGGGACAGGGCGATGCGATGCAGGAGGATAACTGCGCACAATGGCCGAAGGTGAGAAATCTCGGTAAACATTGTCAACCTCTTCCTCATTTGGTGTTGGTCCGATAAGTGACAGAAAGTGTGACAGATCCACACCGAGATCGTCTGACTGTTCAAAGTCATGGAAATCGTCTCTTTGGTGTGAGAAAGACGACGATGCCGCCGCCATCGGGGACGGCGAGCATAGATCCGTTAGTTCGGGTAAAGACCCATGGCCTGGATGTTCCCATAGATTGTCACATAGAGCAGTTCGTCCATCTAAAACAAAATTGGAAGGACCTGGTTCATGTGCCGACTCAAAATTTGATTCATCCGGCAAAGCATCGTCGATTTGATTTGCCAGCTGGCTAGGAGCTGTCGAGGCGGCGGGACTCGGGGTTCTCACCTCCGAGATCGATCCCGGTACAGCGGGACTAGACTGCTCATACTCGGTAACCCATCGCAGGGATTGTGCATAGCCAGGGCAATGGACGCCTAGGCGAGTACAGCGAGTGCAGTGAGGTTTCTCTTCGCCGCATTTGACCTGTGCATCTTAGTGATATCCGATTTTCTAGGGCGGGAAACACAAACCCGTTTACTCTTGCATCTTGCACAGCCATTTCTAGATTTCTTAACGCGGCGCATTATAAGGCATAGAGAAGATGAATCTGAGAAGATCCGACAAGATGCGGAGTATAGGCTGGGGGAAAACCCGTGCGGGGAGTGACAAGTGCCCTTATCGAGATAAACGGGATTCTTTTGCCTCTTTGGGTGAAATAGGTGAAACAATGAAAGGTGGCAGCCTCTAGCTTGATGACTAGCTAATATCTACATGCTTACTATATAAAGAACTATATAAAGAACTATGTCAAGTAACTAGTTATCCAAGGAGTATACAGGTTATAAAATAAAAATAAAATAAATTGCGACCTTCCAAGGGAAAACATTCATGATGACTCAGCTACGGCTTCGGGGTTGTGGATAGACCCGGGCTTGGTAATTGGAGTACCTGTGGACTTATATATCCGATTGGCAACCCGAATTTGATACCTACACCTGGGCAACGCTAGATCATGACACTTTTAGTACGCAGAAAGGTAAATAAATATCCAAATCAACATTTTTATAAAGTCTAACATCAAGATAGGCAATCTCAAAGGGACTTTTCCAAAGACTGGCGACTGTCAAGCCAGTGGTGATCCCGGATAACGGCCTGACATCAATCCTTAGGCTCCGTACAAATCCCATTGGAAGACCTCGATTTGAGAAGCTTCTCAGAAGAAGGAATTTTGCTCGCGAATTTCACTCAACTCCCATCACAATGGGGAGCTCCTCCGAACTCAAGCAAATTTTGACATCAACTCTCCTTGATGACGTACACAAATTGTGGTTTGATCATCTGAGCTGCGAAGATGCATTAATTCTACCTGGAAGGAGTGAGATGGGAAAGTGGTTTTCTCATGACGAGGCTTTTGACAAGGCCTGCGTGTAAGTGGCCATCTGTCTCCTTAATTCAATCCCAAAATATAAGACTAACGAGTTTAAACAGCGCTCGATTCCGCCCTGCTCTGGAAACAATCGTTGGCTCTGGAGCATCAGCTTCGGACATTCTATCTGCAGTTAGCCCGTCCTCGCCGATGGATTGGCTCAGCCTCATTATTCTACTTGATCAGATTCCCCGCAATTGCTACCGGGGAGCCGAGTCGAAGCTAGTGTTTGGGCGCTTTGACCCATTAGCCGAGGAAATTGCGCTTCGAGCAATCAAAGAAGAGATACCGACCCAGTCGACGTATTTCAAGTATCGAATGGCGTATCGTACTTGGTTCTATATGCCCCTTATGCATTCGGAAAACTTGGCTGTGCATGAGCAAGCCCTCAAGGTGCACGAGGATATAGCCAGAGATTTTAATGGACTTCTGGCTAGGGACGCATCGACTCTTACGGAAGAGGAAAGAAAATGCCGTGGCATTCTATCTGAGAAAGAAGAGGCACTCCAGGCATTATTGAGCATGACCTTTGACTTTGAGAAGAGGCATAAAGTGATTATTGAGCAGTTTGGACGATACCCACATCGGAACCAGGCACTGGGAAGAGTGTCTACCCCGGAAGAAATCGAATACCTGAACAATGGCGGGGAGACATTTACGTGAAGCCCAACCGAGCTTGTCTACATTCATGAGTATTAACAAAATCATAATGCACAATATTAATCTATGGGAAGAGTCAGTCTCACTAGACAGAACCGTCCAATTATTATTTGGTAATAGGAATTGTTGACCCTCTAGGACTACATTCCGATGAACGAGTTGGAATTCCATCCCAAAGCAGTAGGTGAGCACATGCCCCTTCACTCTTTCACCCCTTGATAGCTCGCCTGACCCCTTTCCTGTTTAGACAGAGGCCACATACCTTGGTGTAGCCCCCAGGCGATGTTGGGGTGTACATAGGTAAGGAAATTAGACTTCAAACCGGTTTCGGATATGCCAAAAAATGACCATAACACCGCATCTGTATCTTGCAATTTTGTTGTTCTGCTACATAAAATTCGATTGCTAAGATGGGCTTGTCTTTTTTCTATCTTCTTGATCAATAATAGGCCTCCTTAAACCCGAGACGCGCATTTTAAAATCACAGTTACCATAACTGCTGTCTGCTAGAAGAAAGCAGTTGCACACAGGGTGGGTAATTTGGAGGCAACAATGTCCATTTTGGTCTTCCTAGCTCTCCTCTCATTATGATCATCGCACGCCAATCCTTTATCAGGCCGTTCATTTTCTCGCTTCTAGTTGTGTCAGTGACATCGTCCAAAGTGCTTCATCTTCTCCAACATGCCTCCTCTCTCCCCGGCGGCCAATTTGCGCTCTACTTTCCGACATTCTTCATCCTTGAAACTCTTCTATGCGTAGCCGCGTGGGAGTTAGTATTCAAATTTACGGGCGTAAAGTCCCTTTTAGGCACTACTGTGACAGTGGCCATAACGTGAGTGCCTCTATTGTTTTTACTAGGTGGATTCAATCAAGATATTAACTGTTACAGATCTCTGAGCTTTATCCTAGCTTCATCTCAAATTGGTTTCTATTTTGTGACTGGCAGTGAGATCCGCTGGGATGCAGCCACAGCCGTGGGAAATGACCCAGAAGGGAGAAAGCTGATGCTCAGCGGACTGAGATCGTTTTTGGGGGCTGCCTGCACCCTTCTAGCGATCTCATGGCTACTCAAATATTGCATATACGTTCTCATAGGCCATTGGATGTCTGCGCTTTTTAGCGCCCAAACCGAAAAGGCAGACGAAGAAGGCATTGTGATCAGTCCCCAGAGAAAGTCGCGGGCAGCACGACTCACTCAATTTTGGACTGTATGCGCCGCGGCAATCATTGGACTATTGCGCTTCACTCGGCCTCAAGTGCCTTATAACCATATGTCTGAAACTATCCCATTTAGCTTTTTCCGGGCTTTGGGTTCGAGACCTACTGAGCTGCATCAAGCTGGAGATCAACCATTTCCACTTGCGAGCCTGATTGATGAGCCATATTGGGAAGGCCCACACGATCACTTCAAGGGCTGGACCCCGGGAAAGCCAGACTCCAGCGCCAAAAAGAATATACCCGCATGGGCATCCGAGAATTTACCACCAGGGTTCGAGCGGTGGAGCGAAGGAGAGTTTGACGGAGATGAAGAAGAGAGTGATGGTCTGGATGGAAACGCGACTTCTAAGAAGAACATTTATAGCCCCATGATCGACCCTCTCCGAATCACCAACCTCGACCATGAAATGCTCGAGCCTGTAGCTCAGGCTCTCAAGAACCACAAAGTTCCCATTACGCATGTCGTGCTTGTGTTGATGGAAAGTGCTCGGAAGGACATATTTCCCTTCAAGGCAGGCTCACACTTGCACGAGGAAATTCTATCGTCCTACAATACCCAAGACCCCGAATTACTCCAAAAGGTCAACGCCAAATTATCAAATTTGACACCAAACGCAGAGAAGTTGACGGGCGAGACGAGTGGACTATTGACAAATAGCAGCATTTCTCGCCCCTTCAGCGGTGGGTGGAATGACACAACAGAACCAGGAATGGGCGGCATCAATGTCAATGGTATCCTCACTGGTAGCAGTCTATCGTTCAAAAGCGCAGTCATGAACTACTGCGGTGCAGGCCCACTGCCGGTGAACTTCATGGATGAGATCAACTCCCAGAATTATCAGCCGTGCATCATGCAGATTTTTGAATTATTCAACCAACTCAAGGAGAGCTCGACTAAGAAGGCTACAATAAATCATAAACCTGAGACTGGAATTGAGCACATTCATGATCGAAACTGGAGCTCTGTGTTCTTGCAGTCTATCACAGGGCTGTACGATGACCAAAATAAGCTCAACAAGCAGATGGGGTTTCAAAAGTCCATCTACAGCGAAGAAATTAGCCACCAAAGTGCCAAATATTACCACGAGAACATGGAGGAGATCAATTACTTTGGGTAAGCATATTATGCTCCCGCCGATTGAGGACCATCCCAAGCCATCGGCGCTCAAATTGCTAATGCACATCATTTAGATACCCGGAGTACGAGATATACCCATACCTGCGAGATGTGGTGAACAATACAATCGAGAACAACGAAAGACTTTTCCTATCCCATTTCACGAGCACAACCCATCACCCATGGGGCACACCTGCGGAATACCAGGAAGAGCAATACTTTTCTGGAGACGGTCTCATATCGAAGCATGAGGAGATTAACAAATATCTGAATGCGGTCCGATACGTGGATACGTGGCTTGGCGAGATGATGAAGGTCCTCGACGAGGCTGGGATTGCAAACGAGACATTAGTCGTATTCGTGGGAGATCAGTATGTTGCACCTGTTTCAGTAACTCCGCATAGCAACCAATTCACCATATACTAATCCCAAATAGTGGCCAGGCGTTCCCCGAAGACGCTCCAGTCTCCGGCACATATGAGAATGGACATATCAGCAATTTCCGCATTCCCCTTGTTTTCCGACACCCGCTATTGCCCGCACTGCAAATCACAGCAAATGCAACCTCGATGTCTGTCGTCCCGACCATTCTTGATCTACTCGTGAATTCGGGCTCGTTGGACGAGATGGACTCCAATGCAGCCTTAGACCTGATGAATGAATACGAAGGACAGTCACTGGTGCGCCCGCACCGAGCTACCCACAATGGGCGACAGGCATGGAACTTCGGCATTATCAACCCTGGTGGTACAATGCTCAGCGTCGGGTCTGCGGCAGTCCCGTATCGACTCATATTGCCGCTGGCGGAGGACTTCGAATACGTTTTCTCTGATCTAGACACTGACCCGAACGAATTGAGTCCATTGCGTGGGTGGTCCCTCGAGGAGTTGATCAGTCGTGTACAAAGGCAACATGGAGATAAAGCCGGGAAGTGGCTGGTAGACGCGGAGAAAGTGGGAAAATGGTGGATTGAGGAGCAAAAAAGACTATGGAATTACCAATAATAATGCAAATACATTTCCTTTTCAAATTCAACTGTTTCAGGAAAAAAGAAGAATAGGAAGAGAAGCAGGTTGCCTTGATATTGTTCGGTTTCTTTGTTTCCGCCTGAGGCATACACACCCGCCCCACCTCCACCTCATGTTTTATATTCGCCGCATTTCACGAGAGTTCAGTCTTTCATTTGGACAATTCTTTTCTCAACGGGAGTTTGATTGATCGAGATTGTACATCTATATCTCGACAGCGCAGAGCATTAGTTTTGAGATCCCAGCCCGGACTCGTCCTGTGCATCCGAACCCCTGTACCCCCGCCATTTGCTTGCATCCCGGCAATTATCCTTCCAATCTTAAGCTTCTCACTGCAATTTGCACCAACGAATCATGGAGGGAAAATATTCCACCGACCCCGAATGGGCATCTGTCACCCCGATTGACCTGGACGATGGCTCGAGCTCGGGCGCCATGCCACTGGCAACCATCGCTTACCCAACCGAGTACCTCGAGGCGACCTCGTATTTGCGTGCCGTGATGGCCGCGAACGAGATGTCTGAGCGAGCATTGACTTTGACTAAAGATGTGATCTCGATGAATCCAGCGCATTACACTGTATGGTAAGTTTGCTAGTACTAGCTTCCCCATGACTTGTCATATTGATTGATATCTGACCTTTTACACAGGATCTACCGAGCAAAGATTCTATTTTCTTTGGAGAAGGACTTGAATGAAGAATTGAGCTGGCTGAATGATGTTTCATTGAAGTACCTGAAAAACTATCAAATTTGGTATGTCGACCATCACTCGGCAGCCACCAATGCCAGAAAGCCATGAAAGAAAAAGACAATAAAAGAGAAACAATAAGGGGATAAAACTAACAACCAAAACAGGCACCACCGCCAAGTCCTGCTATCATCAAAAGCGCACTTTCCAACCTTCCCACCCAAAGAAGCGAACTTCCTAATGGAGATGTTCGCCCAAGACTCCAAAAACTACCACGTATGGACCTACCGCCACTGGCTCGTGCGGCACTTCGGACTCTGGGACCAACCCCGTGAACTCGAAGACGTGGAATTCCTGTTGAAAGCTGACGTGCGCAACAACTCCGCCTGGAACCACCGGTACATGCTCCGTTTCGGACCGCGGGACACATCGGTTCCCGACGCGGGGATGGTGAACGCGGGTGATCCTTCGACCGCGCCGTCCGAGAAGGGCATGCTGCCTGTTGTCGATGAGGACATGATTGATGGCGAGCTGAAGTTCGCGCAGGAGGCTATTCTGCGCGCGCCGGAGAACCGGAGCCCGTGGTGGTATGCGCGTGGTGTGCTAAGAGCTGCTGGCCGTGGGTTGGGAGAGTGGGAGAAGTTTGCTGGTGGGTTTGTTTCTGAGGGGGCTGTTAAGAGTTCACATGCTGTTGAGTGGTTGGCGGATGTTTTTGCTGAGAGGATTGGGAAGGAAGAGGAGGCTGTGAAGATGTTGACGATGTTGAAGGAGCAGTTTGATCCTATTCGGAAGAATTATTGGGATTATCGTATTCGGAAGCTGGATCAGGCTGTGGCTTGATTTGGGGAAGGGCATAACAGCCGCCGTGTGGAAGGTAGAAAATGAGTGGAACAGAACAACTTCTATCAAGAATAATTTATCTTTGTTTTCGAATGTTTTAGACGTTTCGATGAAAAGTATTGCGTCTAAACCAGGGTTTTTGAAGTAAAAGATCGCTGTATACTTTATATGACCGAATAGAGAATGTGAAAGTCCAAGCCTCTATCTAGATGATAGTAATTAAAAACATTGAAGTCCAACCCCAAAACAAGGATGAGAAGAAGAAATGAGATCAAAAAATATAGTGCCGCAAATCAAACGCCAAAAGTCAAGCCAAAAAAAAGGTATTAAAAAACCAAAAATAATTATCATCATCAATATTCATGCCCATCCCTCATCCAACATCTTGCGCCATTCACAGGCCATATCGATGGTGACATAGCTACCGCCGCAGACAATGATGACTACTCTGCTCTGCGAGTTGAGATCAGGGACAAGCTGCTTAAGCTTCGAGTTGAGCTTTTCGCCGACCTGCGGCTCAAGCTCCTGGTCGGTCTCATTATCCGTCGAAGTCGACCGGTCATCCCCATACCCCTCATCGCGGTAAGTGACATCAGTCTCAACCAAGCCCCTCTTACGCTTCTTAATACTCTGAGCGCCTGTGCTGGCAGTCACCGACGCAGGAACAGCAGTAGCGGCATCGCCGATGGCCGCCTCGATGCAAACACCGCATGCAAGCTCGACAAGGAGTCGTTCGTCGTTGGCAAGGCGGAGAACACCGCGGGCGGCGTCTGCATCTGAGAGGACGGTGCTGTGCACCTTGATTCCTGGGGGCGGGGATACTGCGTACTGGAATGTTGTTTCCGAGACGCGCACAGCGCCGAGAGAAATGGCCTGAGATGTGATCTTTGGGAGGGAGATGAGGGATTTATTGGCGATGGCTGCTGCCAGGGAATCGGTACCGGCCGTTTCAATGGCGAGGAGGTGAATGGGGTTTGGGTTGGGGGAGGAAGAGGAGGTGGTTTGCTTCTTTTGTCGTCGCTTTTCGATGCCCATGACGAGGCCGTTGAGGAGGCCGCCGCCGCCGACGCTGCAAAGGATGGCGTCCAAGGGAAGTGCCCGGTCATTGTATGCTTTTTTGTCTTCGGGGCTCGTGGCAGGAGGAAGCTGGGTCTCGAGCTCGTCGATGATGGTGCCGTTTCCTTCCCAGATAGGCTGGTTGTCGAATGGGTGAAGGGCAATCTTGATCACATCCTGGTCATCCCCGCTGCTGGTCTTCATGATAGTTTCACGCATGTATTCCCCTGCCTCTGAGAATGTCTCGCCATGACGGATGACGTCTGCTGCACCTGCCGCCCGGATCTTGTCAAGCATCAAGGGCTTCGTGCCCATAGGAACCACGACAGTGCATGGGTAGCCCAGGCTGCGGGCTGCACAGACGGCTGCTAGTCCAGCGTTTCCTCCAGACGAGGCGTAGAAGTGGACTCTACGGCCCACGTTTGCTGGGTTGCGAAGGTGAGAGAGGATTTGGTTGCCCATAGCACGGGATTTGAAGGAGCCACTGGGCTGCACGTTCTCCAATTTCAGGAAGATCCTACATCCAGCTGCTCGAGAAAGGGACGCAGACTCGACCAATGGTGTCTCGATCCATGGAGTTTTTAACTGCAGTTGAGCGCAGGCGGAAACGTCGATGCTCCCCATTTTGATGTGTTGAACAAACGGAAGAGCAAAAAAGGTTTCTGTTGGTCACCGGAGGAGTTCCAAGATCTGAAGTATAGAAATGATGTTCCCAAAATAGTAGTAGATTGTTGAGTCGAGTGGTTACACGACAGTAAGGTGTAAATTCACCAAAAATCGAGAGATAGGGAGATATCGGGAAGAAAAAGAAAAGCGATAGATACTGAAACACCCAAACTCCAATATGTAGATATTAAGACATGTTTTGATATACAAAGTAAGCCTCCAGGGCTAAGGCCAAGGTTTTCCGACGGGAAACGGGAGTTTCCCGCCTGATAGGATTGACCGCAGTATCCACGGTCTGGCCTTGTCTTTCCCGTCAACAAGCTAGAGGGAAACTCCAATTATAGTGGGTCGGCCATGACGCCCATGACATACCGTTTGTATTAGAGTGGCCCGGCGTGGAAAACCTGACGTCTCAGCTTTTGAGTAGTGGAGGACCCGGGAAAAAAACCTCATTGAGTCTGGCGCATCTGCGGAGAAGATGCACATCTTTATTCAAACGGACTCCTCGGCTACCCATGATTGGTCGCCGATCGATTCCTCTTATCAAATCGAAAGCTCAAAAACAGGCGCATTACTCCTCAGTGAGCAAAGGAGGGAAAAGGATACCTTTCTTAACGCCCTCACCGTAATCTTGATCCGAACCGTACGCCGTGGCCGCGAATGCCCGCTTGGAGGGGTCCGAGGTGTTTACACCGAGCAATTCTAGAAGGTCATGAGACTTGCCGGGCATGAACGGTTGCAATAAAATGCCAGCGATCCGCAGCGATTCCGCCACGTTGTAGATGACTCGTTGGGAGTCGGGGGTTTTCCACGGCTCCGCCGCATGGAAGTACTTGTTAGTCTAAAAAAAGGTCAATACTCGCCGAGCCCGTGCGGGGATGATCACCTCTTACCTTCTCAATAATGCTCATAGTTTCTTGCAGCGCGGCACGCGGGTTCAGATTCTCCATAAGCTCGGCAACCTGCGGAGGTGTTTGCTCCAACATTTTCTGATGTTGCAAGTCCTCAGGGGTAGCAGCTGGAAGCTTATCCGATCCGGCGTCCATAATGTACGAGCGCAAATTGCCACGCGCACATCCAATTGTACGCAGAGCAAGGTTTCCGAGGCCCCCTTGAAGCAACTTTTTGTAATCTCGGATGATAAAGGAATTGTCAAAGTCCGCATCATCCGCAAGGCCACCCCGGTACGCTAGGAAAAATCGCATGCCATCGACTCCGAACCGCTCAATGGCGAAAAACGGGTTCACAACATTGCCTGTGGACTTGGACATCTTTTCACGATTCATCGTCCAGTGTCCGTGCACCAAGACATTCCGAGGTAGGGGAAGATCAAGTGCCATGAGGAAAGCAGGCCAATAAACACAATGGAATCTGCCAATTGATTAATTTTGCACGCGGCGCTTCGGAAGGACTCGTGAACTCACCGAACAATATCTTTCCCCACTACATGCAAATCTGCAGGCCATGCAGATTTGTTTTCTTGTCCAGGTGGGAAAGGATATCCAGCTTTGGTCAAGTAGTTGACCAGAGCATCTAGCCACACGTAGATTGTCTGTGTGTCATCGCCGGGAACAGGGATGCCCCAAGTTAGACGTTCTGTGGGCCGAGAAATGGAAAGATCCTGCAGTCCCGACTCAACTCCATTGACCACAGCAGCTGTGTAGGAGGTCGGGCTAATGAATGGATCTTCTCTTTTGTACAAGTCAAGTAGACGATCCTTGAAT